GCATATTGAATGAGATTATATGTAAGTGATATTGGTACTAATAACTATTAATTTGGTTTTTCGATTCTGTTATCGATATATTTATCGATTTGTCGATATTCTTATCGATTTTGTCATAGATATTTTTATCGGTTTTTTACTGATATTTTTGTTGATTCTGCTATCGATATAGTTACCGATTTTGTTATCGATATATTTATCGATTTTGTTGTCGATATTTTTATCGATTTAGTCATCGATATTTTTATCGGTTTTGTTACCGATAGTTTTATCGATTTTGCTATCGGTATTGTTATCGCTTTTGTTATCGATATTTTTATCGGTTTTATTATCGATATTTTTATTAATTTTGCTATGGATATTGTTATCGCTTTTGTTATTGATATTTTGTAATCGATTTAGTTATCGATTTTGTTCTTGATTTTGTTGTCGATATTTCTATCGATTTTGCTATCGATATTATTATCGATTTCCCTATCAATATTTTCATCGATTTTGTTATCGATATTTTTTTCTTAATGTGTGCTTTCGTTTTTGACTTGGATATGCTCTTAACCATACCACATAGCCTGCAGACCAAGACGAAGGCGCTGGACTGTTTCTTTTTTTCTAATAAGTATTATAAAAATATAGTACACGTAGGTGTTCATTAATTGAAAAAAAATTATAAAGTAGTGGTTTTGAATTATTAAAATTTATTTAAGTTTTCCTGTTTCATTACATTTAGCTTGTCAGGGCCCATCCCGTTTGGACTGAACTTAAAACGGTGCTCGACGTCACTGCTAATAGTCGTATAAGTTTTACAAGCATCTGAAATTTACACATGGCGTTGTGGAGGCAGCATCTATCCATTTATTCCTATCAAAAGCAGCTTTTAGACGACAAAGCGTTCGGATGCCGATTTGCTTGCAGAGGTTATTTTCTAAGCTTTGATGGTTCAATGATGGATTTGTCAATTCTGACACCACATTGATAAAACGCCATCAGTTGATTCATGGTGGGCTTAAGTCTTTCACACAGTACCGTCGACAGGACCTTATAAGCAATACCTAGAAGCCTTCTTCTGGGATAATTGTACACAGAGTTTTTAATTTTCGGGCATTTTTTCATCAGATCAGATTTCACTTGGTCGACTTTGAACAAATCAGTTAGTATTCCCTCAGCATCTATTTTTGATGCGAATAGATGCAACTCATTCCTGAGGAGGGTGAAACTGCAAACGAGTTTACGGATTCGCACACCGGACAACTTAAAATCTGGCTTTGAATTGTTTTGTCGCCTCCTAGCATCTGTAGTAAACTTCGCATGCTGCATATTTTTACAGCCATGCCGCATTTTCTGCAGTGTCATGATGCCTCCCTTATCCGCATTGCGACAGAGGCACCTTTCCAAGACGCTCCATAAGCATATTCGTAAATAGCAGTCCCGCCTAGGCCCGCAGCTTAGCCAACCACACCAGTATTACATTTTCGCATTTTTAGTTTATATAAAAACGCAATGTTAATTGACAATTAAAAGTTAATTAAATTACTGTCCTCTTTTCCAATCCCCAGGCGACTTCGACGAACTCCTGGAGGAACCCCGCTTTGCGTCCATTGAGAAAATCAAGACTGTTGGCGCCACATACATGGCCGCTTCCGGTCTAAATTCAGCACATTTGAATGCACGCGGGGAGACAGCGGAAGACAGCGTTTGCGATTTGGTTGAGTTTGCCTTTGCCATGAAACAAAAATTGGAGGAAATCAACAAGGAAGCATTCAACAACTTTCAGTTGCGCGTGGGCATCTGTAGCGGTCCCTTGGTGAGCGGTGTGATTGGCGCGCGCAAGCCCGTCTATGACATCTGGGGCAATACGGTGAACGTGGCCTCACGTATGGACTCCACCGGCGAGAATTGGCGCATACAAGTGCCTACCAAAACGTCAGAGCTGCTAAAGGGCAAGGGATACACGTGTGTGGTTAGTATTAAATATTTACATACAAACATATTTAGTTGAGGACAATTATTTTGTTTTCTTTTTTGGGGGTCTCACATTCACATTTTTTTTTTTAACTTAGAAACGCGGCGAGATAAATGTAAAGGGCAAAGGCCTAATGGTCACGTACTTTGTGCATCCTAGAGGCGCCAATGAAAGTCAATTATCGTCACCGGTGCGACTGCCGGCGGGTGTGCCATTATCGCAGACGCCCAACTTACAGCGCCAGACATCGCATCATGGCTCCTTCAGCGCAGTGGTGTTCGGCATGTTGCAGGCATCGAAACGTAGCACAACCATAGCAGGCACACGTAAGAGTCACCAATATATGTATAATTTGGCAGTTGTTTGTTTGTATGTACATATGTATGTATATACGCTGCTTGCATGCATGTCTACATATATATATTTACAAAAATACAAACATACATGTAGTACATATGTAAAGTTATTTACATACATACAATTGGTTCTATTTTTTATCGCTTTCAATGGATTTGCAGCGACTGGCACTCCCTCACCGCAAATAAGACGTGGTCGTCGTGGTAGTACCTTCAGTTCAGTGCGTCTATCGCAAAAGTCTACCACCACCAACAATCCGGTGAGGCGGAATACAACACGAGTGCGTGGTCGCTCATATCGACAGAAGAAGGTGGCACATTTTGAACGTCCATCGAAGAGAATTGGCTAAGTAGTAATTAATTTTCGTTCTTTTTCTCTTTTTTTTTGTTACTTTGTTGCAGAGCTCGTCCAACAACTCGATAGTAACACAGACCAGTAATTCGTACATCTCGTCATTTCGACGCATCGATCAGATTGAGACAACGCTGTCCAAAAGTCACAATGATGCTTTATAGCCAATGCGCAATTGGGTGTAAGTCGACGCACCAGCGCAAGGCGACCAATTTTAATTTACTACTAAATACTACTACATATGTGCACACTTATTTATTATACGAGTATATTAGCTATATTTTTAGATATAAAAAAAAATTAGTTTAGTAAAGATATTTACGTACAAAGAGTATCACTTTTCGAAAGATAAAAAAGTTTGAGAAGCACTTCCCAGTGATCCCTTTGGTGTAAACTGATTTCAATTAAGCAAAAAGTGCATTTATTTTTGGAGCATTTTTTAATAAGTTAGTAACTTAGATTCAGATACATACATATGTACTAAATATACTATATGTATGTAGATAAAATATATAAATTACTGTATGTATGTACTTAAGTGTCTACGATGCAATTGCTGTTGGCAAATGTGAATGTGAACAGATTTACCTATGTAGCTTTATTTTATGTAATTGTATGAAAACTTAAACAAATGTCAAGGCGATTTTAAAATTTTCTTAGAAGCTAAGTAATCAAAGGAAGAAATTTGTATGTATGTATGCACTTATTGGTACATAAGTACAATTTTTTTACAAATTTTTTATCTGCAAACGTCTTGGCGATCGGTATGGGTAAAATTTGCGTTAATCCAGCAGAAAATTTTTAGCTGCTTCTTGTGTATACAAATGAACATTTCTGGACTAGTGCAGGGCTATTTCAGCCCATTTCGGCACTAATTCGGAACCTTTTCGGGATCATTTCGAGGCCTGTTCCAGACAATTTAGGGTTAGCTACGACTATTCGAGGGCCATTTTTGGTCTAGTTCTGGATCATTTCGACCCTAGTTCAGGAATATTTTAGGAACACTTTAAAACTTTTTCGTCCATTTCGGGGCCTGTTCAGGACTATTTCAAGACCATTCGGGATCACTTCGAAACTCTTTCGGGACCTATTCAGGACCATTTCGGGTTTGGTTCTGGATCATGTGAGATTAATTCAGGCCTATTTCGAGACTAGTATCGGTTAATTACGGGGCTGGTTCAGGCAATTTCGGAACTAGTTCAGTATTTCAGGGACTGGTTCTATATCATTTCGGGACAAGTACAGAGACCGTTTCAAGACTTGTTTGGGACAAATCGTCTAATGATTTTTCAAGTCGTACACAGATGTTTACACATCAAATTTCATGGGTATCTGGTACTCACGCCTTTTTTTTAATTGTAATGCAATGGCTGTATGTGGTCTGGAGGTACTTTGTCCCAGTGGCGGAGAAAAGTAATCTACAAGGCGTTGACTGTCTCTTCACAAGGAAGATCAGTGTGAAGTTGAGTGGCACGACAGAGTCGATTACAGCCACAATACACATTTGTATGCAGCCGTCAACAAGGAGTTGATAGTTTACCTTGCTTGCACGCCACTTTTTTTAGAAAAAAACTAGGGACTCTCTCCCAAATTGACCTTGTGATCATTTAACATAGTTGTGAAGTCGGCGCGTGCAAAGGTCTTCATTGAAATCAGGGGAGCGATCCGGACCACTCCTAGCCCTAAATGCTATGCTCGGGATCGTACCTGGTTATATTGCGCACAAAGCAGCGGCAGTTCACACAGCCATTAGGCTCAAAAGCTGTGGATTCTCTTTTAACCCAGCATATTGGCACTCGACAATTCTGAAAAGCTTCGACCTCCTACCGGCAGAAATAGATAGGAATGCTCCGAGGCTGGCTTCAAACAGCTTCTTCTCCACGTGCATCCCCCCAAGGGGTAAATGAGAGAATGGCAGTATCTGAAGCAGAGGTCCAATAAACATCTTCACGGATGGATTAAATCTGGACAGCAGAGTTGGAGGAAGTGCCTACTGTCAGGAACTTTCAATAGATCTTATGTTCAGACTGCCGGATCTCTGCAGCGCCTTTCAGGCAGAGTTGGCCGCTATAAAAGAGACAGCCGATTGGCTATGCGCCAATGTTTTGCTGACTAGGAGGGTAAATATCTACTCTGATAGCCAAGCGGCAATCAGGGCGCTGGAATAGCTGATGGTACGTT